ACCCCCCGCCCCCCCCCCCCCCCCCCAATACACACACACACACTGACAGTGATGTACACCAAACACTTACATATAGGCTTTGTAATTATTGCCGATTTTCTGGATGCGGATGTCGTATTTGGAGTCTATGAATGGCTCACTGGTCACGTAAGTCTTTGCCATGGCTACGATACTGGCCATATCCTGGAAGTCATATTGATTATCCACCTTAACCTGGGGAAAAAGAGAAGATGATAAGATTTGATTGATAGGTAACCTATAAATAATGGCAGAGATTCAGACTAACAACAGTATTAGACCTAAAAAGGGGGTACAAGTTCACTGACAATCGAGATGTGATTTGCCAGGACTGGAATCAGGGGACACCTCTGCAATGGGGCAACATAGACAGCAATACCTCTCCCCAACTCACAATCACACTTCTGTGTTGTGTATTAGAGCCCCAATCACACAAAAGTGAAGTTTAGAAGTATTTACTTATGCAAAGAAAACCTACACCATCCATTAGTTTTAAGAATATATCCCTGTTCTCTAACTTTTGTATGGCAGTCGCTCCAAATGGATCTATTATTGGTCCTTGAACTTCTGGTGGGGGACAATGGGGAGCACACACTGTATTGGTCCCATTCACGTCATCAGTGTTTTTTTGTCCCTTATCCTTCTGGTAGTACTGTGCATGTGTGCCCTGTCCCAGGCCTGCCCATGTTAGCTTTAATAGTACCTCTTCCTCCTTTGATTCACATCTATCCATTGTGATAGTATGCAGTAAATAACCTACTCATGGCAATTCGCATGCACGTCCCCATCCCAGGCCTGCCCAAATCCGCTTTATCCTCTACTTCTCTTCCCCAAGAACAAGGTGCATGTGCACCCATCACAGGCTAAGTAAGTAACTATGGCTCCATAGGGCCCTGCAAAGCAGTGCAGCCACCCTTAAGATGGTAATGGAGTACAGAGAACGGAGTACAGAAAAAAAGTGACAAGCTGCATATAGAAAGCAAAAAGCAAGCATGGTGAGCCCTGTCATATGCTACTATATATCACATTTCCCATTGAGGGTTTAATAAAGCAATGCACCTGAAAATGCTATTAAAGTCTAAAGATATTTTAAGCTATTTCTAATGATCATGAAATCACTTACAATGGATGCTGATGTTTAAAAATGTTAGTTTCCTGCATAATCAGCTGGTCCACTGAGCACTGTCCCTGATATCCTGTTTTAAGGCAGCTCCTATCCCTTGCAGGGTCCTATGGAGTCACCCTTGTGTGTGCTAGTAAGCTAAGTGTGTCTCTACAAACCACAAAGGCACAGCAATGCAAGTCACTCCTCTCTGCTTCTCCTCCCTCCCTTCTTCAAGGTAGTAGATGGACAGCTACTGGAGACTGCTCTGTCCCTTGTGATCTTGTACTGGACAGGAAGTCCAGGGAGGCCGAGCTGAGAGAGGAGCTATTTGGAAACATGATGACTGTAAGTTCTTGGGCAAAATGTAAAGAAATACTTTGCTGGGCAATGCATATTAGTTTGATCTGGATTCATTATTGAGAGTTTAATACTACTTTAACGTATAATAAAGTAAAACATGTTGTGAATGGGCCCCTAATAAAAGCTGCATGTTTAAAACAACTAAAAACAACTTTTGAAATGACATTAACATGTACAGCTTGTAGGACATTCTCGTGATTGGGATATACTGTATCTACAATAGCCCAGCCAAGGCCGACCTCTGACTTATCATTGATATAAAAAATGAAATCTTAACATAAATCAGCCATTAAAGTCACACAGGAAATAATTTCCCCGATATCCATTTCCCAGCTGCAAACACAACAGAGTCCATTAGCTTTATCAGATGAGACAAATGTCAGCGGATACACTGGGAATTCATTGAAATGGTAAATATGTTTTTATTTGCAGTTCCCACAGTGCTCCCACCCATGCACGGTCACAAAAATAGAGTGGTTATATTGTCCGTCCACGTGCTCCGCATTCCTTCAGATGTAGTGAGTCATCTGTAATACTTGCCGTACAAAACATGTGCAACTTGGACGGAACTGAAATGAATATTATGTGGCCGCTTAGATAGTAGCGCTGTACTTCGTACTTTACTGAGTGATATCATATAATAGGGTCAGACGGAGCCACATCTAGAATCATTACGGAAATCATTAAAGCCAGTCACCAAGTCAGCAGGGTCTAAAGCAGAACTCCAGACAAAAAAATAACAAAAAGAATGGACAGCCCAGCTAAAAAATAAAATAAATCCAATATTCAGCTTCCAGATATAAATGATGTGGCTGCTGTGGTCAATGAGATCCATGTCATGTGGTCCAGTATGGGGAGGTTTTGGGAGGGGCCCTTGCTGATGAATCCTTTAGGGCAAGTTCACACTGGAGGGAATTTATCAAAACTGGAGCAGACAAAATCTGGAGCAGATGCCCATGGCAACCAATCAGCTTCTCTGTTTCATTTTAAGAGCTTAACTGAACAAACTGAAGAGAGAAGGCGATTACTATGGGCAACTCCTCCAGATTCTGTCTGCTCCAGTTTTGATAAATTCCCCTCACAGTGTTTTACCACAATGGGTCAATGCAGTTCAATTGTTTTCTATGTGCGCTGTTCACATCACAATGCACATTGGGTCTAAAATAAGTTTTGCAATGAAACGGAAGGTATGTAGGTAAGGTAATGAAGGTAAGGTATGTAATTAAATGGAAGGTATGTAGGTAAGGTAATGAAGGTAAAGTAATGAAGGTCAGGTATGTAGGTAAGGTAATGAAGGTCAGGTATGTTGGCAAGGTAATGAAGGTCAGGTATGTAATGAAATGGGAGGTATGTAGGTAAGGTAAGGAAGGTAAGGTAATGAATGTAAGGTATGTAGGTAAGGTAATGAAGGTAAGGTATGTAATGAAATGGAAGATATGTAGGTAAGGTAAGGAAGGTAAGGTAATGAAGGTAAGGTATGTAGGTAAGGTAATGAAGGTCAGGTATGTTGGTAAGGTAATGAAGGTCAGGTATGTAATGAAATGGGAGGTATGTAGGTAAGGTAAGGAAGGTCAGGTATGTAATTAAATGGGAGGTATGTAGGTAAGGTAAGGAAGGTAAGGCAATGAAGGTAAGGTATGTTGGTAAGGTAATGAAGGCCAGGTATGTAATGAAATGGGAGGTATGTAGGTAAGGTAAGGAAGGTAAGGTAATGAAGGTAAGGTAATGAAGGTAACATATGTAATGAAGGTCAGGTATGTAGGTAAGGTAAGGAAGGTAAGGTATGTAATAAAATGGAAACAAAATGGAAAGGTTTTATTTAAGAATGTCAATAGCACGTTGATGAGACAGAAAAGGAGGAACCAGGAAAGGCATAATGAAGACTAAACTTCAGCTTTAAGAGTAAGATTTCTGTAGGAGAGCCGTACTTTATTTGAATGCTTGGCATATTTCTCTTCCCCCGTCTTGTCTCATGACAGAACTTTTGGAGGACTAGGATCTTATTCTAAGCATTTTATGCTCCTCCACTAATGTGCGGTATCACAGGTTGTATACACACAGCAGCCTGATAGGGATTTTATAGCAGGAGGTGATTATATATGAAAAAACTGCAGATCCCGAGGGAAAAAGTCTTCTTCTTTAAAGTGGTTACTGTAAGAAAAACATGCAGCCCTGGAGCCTGTGGCCATAGCAGTCTGTACTATTCAACCTTTTGTATGTTGCTTCATTTTACAGAATTGCCCCATAAAATAACTGTACGTGAGGCTTTGCAGGGCTGCAGACCTGTTAGATCAGACTTCCCCTGACTTAGCCATTTCTTCAAGCGAAACCCAAATACTATAGCGACAACATTTTTTGGGAGAATGAATGTAGAGTAGAGAGCAACGAGAGACAGCCAGGAGAGAGAGAGCGTGGAGAGAAAGTGAGGTGAGACAGCCAGGGAAGAGCAAGGAGAGTCAGCCAGGAGAGAGAGCGTGGAGAGACAGTCAGGAGAGAAACCCGAGCACTCCAGTGACAACTTTGTTTGGGAGAATATAGAGGAGAGAGCGAGGAGAGACAGCCAGGAGAGAAAGCGAGGAGAGACAGTCAGGAGAGAGAGTGAGGAGAGATAGTCAGGAGAGAAAGGGAGGTGAGACAGCCAGGGAAGAGCAAGGAGAGACAGCCAGGAGAGAGAGCGTGGAGAGACAGTCAGGAGAGAAGCCAGAGCACTCCAGTGCACCCTACCTGGATGGCATTTAGCTTCCTAAAGCGCCATATATTATATACAATTACCATTTTATCTTTATTGTGGCCCAGTACTGGAGATCTACTGCAGCCTCTTTGTAGCCACTTTCGGGCATCATGCAAACCAGTGATGGCAACTTTGTAAAGATGTATGTAAACCCTAACAATGAACTCCTCTTATTTGCTGCTTTTTGGTCTGTTAGATATACCACAGGACAGAAGCAGGTAAGCACCATCCACAAAGTCTGCTAAGTCCTTGTAGTGTGTATATTTAACCTGGAGAGGATCATTTTTTTGGCAGTCAGGTGCGCGATGCAACAGACACAACGCAGGCGGCGAACTCGACTTTCATGTAAAGTTTGTTTTAATGGCGAGGACTCCAGTTATTTTACCGCTATCTACCAGTCTGATTATCTAAACAGACACAGCTGGGAAAACACAGGACAGGGAGCAATGGAATTGTTTTCCTGCGTGTAGGAGTACCCAGCGATGACATCACTGGGCCGCTCAGACAAGCGATCAGTTATTCGAAGGATGACAAAGGAAGCCGAGGTTAGGACATCAGAGTCATTATCATCCTTCTGTTCCCGTTATGAAAATATTTATCTCGGTGCTGATCTGTCTGTGGAACTTTGGGCCAAGAAAAGCACAGCACAAGGCATTAGTCAAGTGGAAAAATACTCAGCTCTAGTAGAAATTAGGCACGCAGTATTCGGGAGACCGGGGGGGCGGCCGTAACCGGAATTTGCGTCACCGACCTTTGGAGACAGACCGCACTCCAAAAAGTTCCTTGCCCCTGTTTTGGTTCATTATCTGTTGGCTCGGTCTCGTGTCTCTTAAATCAAAATGGGTTTCATAGAATATCCACTCTACCCTTTCCGTATAATATGAGCTAGATACGCCATATATGGACGGCTAAAACTTTATTATTTGGGTAAATAATTGGCCAATTATTTATTGCTGTGTCTCTCCCCCACTCTCAATTAGAGAGTCACCCTCTCTAATTGTCTAAAAATTTGGGAACAGAAAGTGAGAGGAAATTTTCCATTGGGGACACACCCATTGACGGAGGCAAAACCCACGTCAGCAGCACCTGTGGCCCTATTGGGAAGATATACCTTCACTTCCTGTCCGATAGTCACAATAGGAAGTGACAGGCAATCCCTCCAAACAGAGTGAAAATCCCTGGTGGTCAGTAGAATCACCAGAACTAGTCTCCCCATTGCTGCTCAGGTGACAACCCAACGTTTGGGATTTTTCAGTGATAACTGTCACCAGGACAAATAGAGAGAGTGAATCTCCCTAAGGCTGGGCACACACCTTACAACCATCGCAAGACTTTTGTCTTGTGATGGTTGTAAGGTACTTAAAAAAACGTACGATCTGCCTATCTTACATAGGCAGATTGTACTTGCGATGATCGCAAGCCATGCCCCCTGAGGGGCGGGCTTCCGATGACCGCAATGCCGAACGGGCAGTGTGCGCTTGTGCACACCGGCCCGTCCGGCTTTTATCTCACGAACATGCTACACACCCGCCGAACATCGTACGATGCTTGGCGGGTTTTGAAACATGTTCGTAAGTTTAAAGTCGTGCGACCTTACAGTAGTAGAGGTCGCACGGCTTCCACACACCTTACGATAATCGTACGATCGCGGGATTTCCCGCGATTATCGTACGATTATCGTAAGGTGTGTGGGGACCTTTACGGAGACACATCCAGCAATAAAAACCTGACAGGTGTTGTAATCCTTCTCTACTCTATCCAAAATTATTTTTTTTTTTAAAGTTCTACCTGCGGCCCCTGATATCACCAATGGGCCATACGTCATATTCAGTGAATGTAATGCCATACTTCCCAACTTTCTGAAATGGGGATGAAAAAGAGGGACACCTTGCAGCACAATGTATTTAGGCAATGGACGCACCCCCAATTATGGTGATGTATGGCGAGATATAAGAGGTAGGGATGGACAGCACAGAAAAAAAAATCATGTGCATGTACGTGGGGGCGGGCGACCTTAAAATGGTTGTTTTGCATTGTTTAAAAATCTTTTTATATATAAAACTTTTAATTTTTTTTACACTTATCTTTATTGCACTCACATAGGAGGCTAACAAGCCGCCTATGTAATAGCAAATATGATGTGACAGGCCCTCTTTATGGAGACATCAGAGGTCTCTCAGACACCTAATGTCACCTAGGGACCCCAGAGAAGCTAATGAAGCAGAGATCCGCTTCACCAGTTTCTTCTCCTGGCTCTAAGAGCCGGAGAATGTGCACATTGACACTGGGAGTGATGTAATACACATCACTTCCAGGTCCAGTGATCGGAGGAGAGATCAGTGGCTAGAAGCTTGCTGATCTCCCTCCGATCAATGTGGGGACACCGCCGTGCCGTTGCCAGGCCCACATGGGGGACAGCGGAGCCTGGTATAGCCGGGGGGGGGGCGAGCACATTCTACTGCATCATACAAGTGATCTGGCGGCTGTGTAGCTGCCGGTTCACTTGTATCTAAGCAGCCATCGCTGGCTGTTTAAAATGATACTAAGAGTAGCAGCCGTGCTCTTGGTATAACTACTTCAGGACAGGACTTTTTTTATGGTAGTGAAGTAGTTAAAGAAATTAATCACACTATTGAACTACTAGAAGCCAGTCTAAAAAATATTTTTCCTGCTCTGTCTGCAGATGCCCTGAGAGCCCGCACAATAAGTGCCAATGGGTCACATATAGCCCCTGGGCCGCAGATTGAATACAAGGGCCTTGGATGTACTTTATCAAGGTGCCTTACCTAACTCAGAAGAGTTGTATGGACATTCATTATAGGGACCCATACTGATTGCAAGAACCTCCAAATGCCATATTGTAACTCCCCTATCCTACGTGTTGAAATTATGTCTGAAATCAGAACACTAACTCAGCCTACAGAACATGCTTTTTGAATGAACCTGCCACAGATTGTCTGGAAAGCTTATTAAGAAAATTTATAATTGTATTTAATAACACAAGCAGTGCAGTGTACGGCCATGAGTCTACTCTACCAGCTGCAATTACTCAGCCGCACTGATGTGTCATTGTGAATTTTCACAAAATCGCCATTGTATCCCCCAAAGACAGGCCTGAGAAGATGGTGGCTTCACCCCCATTTCCCATAAATAAATAGGGGAAAGCAAAGGTCATGTAGATTATGATTAATTGCATATATCATATATAGTATGACCGGGGACACTGTAGCACACCAGCTGTTGAAGAATTTGAAATTCAAAGCCCAACTCTAGGAAAGTAATAAAATAAGCCCCCGGTCTCCCTCTGCATCCCCATTAATGTGTTTAAACCATCTATTAACTTCCTGCCTTTTCTTTGCAATATGTATTTCTCAGAGTCTGTGATGTCATCACGGGGTGTGTTCAGATCCCACATTTGCATGCATCAGAGGGAGGACTAGTCAGGGGGCCCTATGTGCTCTCCAGCTGATGAATGCATGCCATGTCAAGCACAAGAGCTCTGAAGGGAGGAATAGTGTTAGCAGGCTTGTGGTTGGGGCTGGCAGCCGCTGATTGGGTAATGATATAGAGGGGCAAGTGTTACTGAAGGGGAGTGCCTGCACTGTTATAGCCAGGGCAATACCAATAATAAGGCGGCCTGAGACTGCTGGCTCAGGCGGCATCTCTTCGAGTCTCTCAGGGGTGTGGCATGCAGAGCAGCGTGGCCACTCTGCCAAGAAATGTTTGCAGTGTGCCTGCCGCCCCCTTTCCGCCCAGAGCGTCCCAGGTTGCTAAGAGCTGGGCAGGGAAATGTGTAAAGTCCATACATATCTCCCTGCTCAACTCTTAGCAACTCGGGACACTCTGGCTGGCATCCCGCCCAGCTCCTGGCAACCAGTGATGTCATTGATTGCCAGGAGTTGGGTGGGATGCCAAGCCAGATGGGGAGGGCAGCGTCAATTAACCACGATAACCCACCACCCCACACACTAAGCCACCTCAGGCGGCAAAAAGGTTAAGGACGACACTGAATACAACTATGTTGCAGTGGGACTGCGGTGTTAGGGCCCAGTCGCACCATATCCACAGTTCGAGCCCGGAACGCACTGGATCACATAGATAAGGCCGGTTTATGTTCTGCGGCGGGAGGATTTATGTCAATGGCACTGCAGACACGCCCACCAACTGCAGTGCAATCATCTGCAGAACAGGTACAGGAATGCTCTCCGTTCTAATGCAGTGCGATCGGAAAAAATAGTGCATGCGGCATTTTTTCCCCCTCCTGCCCCAGAACGCAGTCGGCCTGAACTATGTGATCCAGCGCATTCTGGGCTTGAACCGGCCTATAGTTCTTAATTAATGATTCCAGCATTCGTTAGGATTTTCGGTGAGATAGATGTAAGTCGAGACAGTACATCATATTCTCTGCTAAATGTATCAAACTATACACTGTTTTTTTTTATTCTGCTCTGCTGAAGCCAGCGGTGAAAACTTAAACTATCTCCTGAACACCTGGCCTAGTAGCCCGTCCGTGTCACACTAATGGTTACATGTTGTTTCGCTCAGGTTGGGGAATTTGAGATAGATCTCTCAAGGTGTTGGGAAAATGCGTAAAAATTAAATCTGCTACGTCATTTATGAATTACCAGGGGCAAAATGTACTAATCCTACAGCTGTAATGTTCCCTTGCAGCGAGGACAATTTAATCCGCAGCCTCAACTGATGGAGACATCATGTTCCCTCACTGGTAGAACAAAACATTTCCTGTGTGTTACTGGTGAAAGAGACAGACCACAGGGAATTCAGGAGTTCTTGGTGTCTATCCCGCATATATAATGCCTCATAAATCTGTCGGTTTGTTTTCCAGAAATGTATTGTTTGCAGCTTTGCATTATTAAGAGTTGGCAAGTCGTCACTATGAATTAAGGTGAACGTGATTGTTAAGGTTCGGTCCAGTTGGGTAGGACAAGTTGCTGCTGGGTAGCTATCCAGAGGTGCTACTCCATGTACTCAACAGGAAAACCGTTAAAGGAGAACTATGAGGCGGATGCTTTTCACTCACCTCATAGTTCTAGCCGACCTGTGACAATGAGACTGTCACAGGTCGGCTCAGTAGATCGGGAGGTGATCGAACATATACCGGCGTTCGCTCACCTCTTGATCCTGTCACGACTCTCTGCCGTGACAGGGGAGGGGCTGGATTCCCCCCTCCCCGCTCCGATCTGCCAGTGCTGACTGGCGGATTTGACGGGGGAGTGTACAGCTGGCTCTGCCTCTAGATACAGTTGGCTCTAGTGTACAGCTGGCTCTGCCTCTGCGGCGTCTCAGTATACCGCGAGCTACAGCTCGCGGTATACTGAGCCTAGGGTGACGGGAGGACGCTAGTTTGTGTCCTCCCGTTACCCTAAGGAGAACTATTGGGAAAAGCCTTAACCCCATAGTTCTCCTTTAATGCTTACCAGAGGATAGCAACAGCAGGTTGTAAAGACAAACCCACCAGTGGCTCAATACTTCAACTTTATCAGAAGTCATGTCTTTCCAACTTTTCTATTTCAGTCAACAGTCATTTAATTTCCTTAGATAGGGAAATCATTTCCTGCTTTAATCTAATTATTATTAGTTTTATTATTATTACAGCACTGGGATTGATCATGTCATTATAGAAGGCAGGGGCCATACATTTCTCCCCGCCCCGCTCTACTGTCTTGAAGAAAGGATACCAACATTCAAATCTATACAATATGATGTAAACAACATTAGCGTGCCTCTTACCTTGCCCATTCCAGCATGAGCGTGGCCCATTTTCACCACCACTGGAAAATTTGGTGTCGTCAGCTGTAAAGAAACACAAGAAAGTCACAATTCAGTCAGCTAATTCAGTGATCAATAATGCAGATCAATCAGTACTTTACCATTATTACATTTCTGACATGTCACAGCAACAGTATATTATCCCAAAAAATTGCCCTTCAGGTAAGCAGAGCAGTTACAGACCGGAGCAAAATGTATTCCAATGGTATTTTTTCTCCAGTTCACATCGCAGTGTTCCGTTCCAGAGCAGGTAAAAAAACTGCAGGAGGCCCTATTTTACCTGCTCTGGAACGCATCAAAAATGCATGCAAACACCCTGGAACGCACTGAAAGCCCGTTTTAAACAAAACACATCAAAAACGCGGCAAAAACCACTGTGCAGAAACTCATGCAGATCTGCTCTGCATTTGGTGTGAACAAGGCCTTAGACAACTGCACAAAAAAATAACAATTGACCCTGCCAGAAGTCTAGCACGTGGTGCTCTTAGACTGTTTTTAGTTAGCATTTTTGCTAGCTCTCTCTGTGGACTACAGAACACCAACCTCCTATGTTAAGAGGAGATGGGTTTTCTTTAACCCTAGTATGCTTCCTGTCGTAGGGTGACAACACTGCTCCTCCATAGATTTTATCAGAGATGGAACATATTGGGTTGTAGTTGCACGATCCATGAGGATTCTTACAGTGGCTTGTAAGGTGATAGTTGAATAGCTTTATCAACATCCCAAGCCTACAAGATCTTGTCAGGGATTTGTCGGCAGGTAGATGTTAGTTATATCAGAGAACCCTAATCAATAAAATAAAGAAGCAGCAGCTTGAATCTGTGTAATCAAATACCGGTAAGTAAAAAAAATGTGGAAAAAAGCCGTATAAAACTACTCATTGAACTATAATAATGGAACAGTTAATGATGAATATATATACCTCCTTCAATCAATAATCCATATATAAATATAAAATCTCAATAGCAAAAAAATATAAATATATAAAATAAATAAGACTTTACACATATAATAATGTATACAGAAAAAAAGTGCCCAGTGCAAGGGTATCTCATCTAAATGATGAACCCCCAAATACTAATATATAATGTGTGAAAGCTTTCCCAGTAAAGTGCAAACAATGAAAAAGTGCTCACTTTGGACGTTTTTTCTTTAGCACTTTTTTTACTGTTTGCAGTGTCACCACTTTCTATGGTGCAGGCGAGCCAGCCACCAGTATCAGGGAAAGAATAATGCATGACACTAATCCAGGGATAGCTGCATCCAGGACCTCCATTAGCATTCAGAAGAGGACAAAAGTCCACCTCTGTCCAGACCTGCTCCACCTCCTTGCCTCTGCCATGTTGCCGCATCCACATTGACGCTGATGTGAAGGCGGATCAGATGACTCTGATGTGAGGGTGGGGTTCCTGATGTGAAGAAGGGCTATGGATGTAAAAGGGGGGCTTCTGATGTGAAGGGGGCTCCTGATGGAAAAGGGAGCATATGATATGAAAGGGTGAGAGTTTGATGTGCAGGGGTGAACTTGTCTTCTTTTTTTTTTGCGTGGGATCCCGCCTTAAAATCCATGCCAGACCCCTATCTAGGTTAAAGATCTAGTATAGACTTTGGTGGGAACCACATGTCATATTTTAAACTTACATTTTTTACGTTTTAGACTGGGGTTCCCTGAGATTATTCATCATTTTAAAGGGTACTATGACTGAAAACATTTTGAGAAACGCTGTTCTAGATTGTAAACATTTGGCCATACTTCTGTACATTGAATCATGAACATATTGTGATATTACCATCTTTTCTACAAGCAATATGGTCATCTCACTTCTATATTTTAATAAGCTGGTTGGATAAGCTTCATAAAGTCTTCATCATTACAGAACAAGTCTAGCTGAATACAACTAACTTACACATTACTACTACTATGCCAGGACCTGGATGAATGAGAAACTTCACAGACAACTCCTTCAATTTTAGGTCATTCCAATAGCTTTTTGTAGAAGTCAGCTTGCCAAACAGAACCTAAATATTATCCTTCAAAAGGACACAGCTAAAAGTTTAGAATATATAGTGATGTTGCACACAGCTCTCTCATAAATGCTGTTATTGTAAACATGTGTTCCTGCTGTACGATGACCCTCTCTCCGTACACATCCTGACTCCCCAGGTCGATTTGCCAGGTTGTTAAAGACACCGTTATGTTTTTATGGTGATCGGACAGCTCCAGCCATAAAAGTTGGAGAGTTACATAGTGGAAAATTAAATTTTTGTTGGCATGTACGTTTTCCCAAGCTTGTATACATACTTGTCACTTAGTGCAGAAATGACGTCATGTTATTTATTATTCGTTCCATGTATTGTTTTACATTCTTGTAAGATTTACTCTCCGAAACGGCAAGAGACGTCTCCACTCCCTGCCTTTATCAGCAGCTGTGATTTTACTCCTCATTAGAATCTTCATATTCTGGAGAACTAAGTTCAACCGAAGCAAAAGCTATTATTTTTACTTTCGGATAGAGTGGAGAGGGATTATAGCACCTATCAGGTTTTTATTGTAGCATGTGTCCCCGTTAGGAAGATTCACCCACTCCTGAAAGTGAGAGAAACTGACAAATTGTGGGCTGTCCCCAGAACAGTAATTGAGGGGAAATCTTCCAATGGTAATACTAGTTCTGGTGATTCTGCTGACCATCAGGGATTTCCTTCTCTTTGGAGGGATTTTTCCTCACCTGCAGTGCCCATCATGAGGTGCTCCCACCATCCATGCACTGAGATCCTGGGTCTACACAACTGCTGTGCCTATTATGAGGAAACCACACTAACCCAGCACTAATTTCCTGGGTCTACACACCTGCTGTTTACATTATGAGAAACTCACTATCACTGCACTCATTTACTGGGTCTACACACCTGCTGCGTACATTATGCATTATACTTTAAAGAGATAAAAACATAAGGAAAAGGGCATGTATTGCAAATATGTACAGCGTATGTTGTTTGTTTGTTTTTTAATTTGCCTTCACATAAGATTTAAGTTAAATAAAGTTAATGATCTGTTAGTATAAGTGCAGGCATCTTAACTGAAACAAACCTAGCAGAGTACGTTGGGAGTCTTGAAACAGACACCCTATTATTCCAATTCTGAAATCGGGAACTGAAGGTGACCGAAGGCCCATCTCCTTCTGCCTCCCAGATCTTACTATTAAAAACACCTAAATTATAAACCGATAGTCCGTGTGCAATGAGGGAAGAAAGGCAGATCTCTACTTTAGTTCCTGAAGGCAGTATTTTAATAATAAAGTCCCTAGGTTATGAGGTCCCTGGTCTTCTCTCCCAGGTATGTACCTCCACTTCATTGTTGCAAGTCATTTATACACTTTAAACTAACAAGAGTAACTTTATCAAGGATGATAATAAACTAATTACCATAGATAGAGTGCTTTCGAGTCTGTATATGAAATTTAATAACCAAAATACGGTACAACAAACAAGCAAAAGTCTGAGAGCTACATAAAAATGACTTCCACATTAACTTTACAATAACAACTAAATATATACTCCACGGGGCGTGACTAGACGCGGCATTTGATCGGAAGTTCCGCTGAGGGCTCCAGCGTGTCATCCTCTGACTGGCTTCGGCACGTGTGTGCTGTTCGGTTTCTGGACTAAGGCTGGCGACCTTTCAAGGGAAGTAAACCTTACTGCTGCTGATTGATCGTGAATGAGAGGATGAAGAAAAACGGGAAAAAAATATATATATCTATACTTCACAGTTCCCTATATTTCACCTGTAACACTGATTCCCAAACACTGCATCGAAAAGTGTATCGAAAGTCAAAACTTCTTGTTTTTGTATAGATTAGGGAATGGTTAAAACCATTGCTAGAAGAACGTTCTTTAGCACCCAAGGTGGAAGGGCCAAATTGCTCCCCCACCCTTCATGAGCTGCAAATTTTTTTCAGCAACATAGGTTACAGGTCCTGCCCTTTCTGTAATCCCCAGCTCCTGCTGAAGTGCTGAAGGCGGCTGCCTCTTCTGTATACTCCACGGCATAAACACTGTCATGTTTTGGGTGTTTTTTTTTTTTCTGTTTGTGTCTCATTAGAGACCTTTCCGGTCATATTCTGTCCCAGGGATACAACAGGAAGTAAAAGGTAATCCTTACAAAGTGGGTATTAATTGTCAATGGAACTGGTGTCCCCATTGAAAGACTTCCCCTCAATTCCAATTTCAGTTAAAACTTAAAAAATTGATTTTTTTTAATCATATTCTGTCCCTAGAGCAAACAAAGAGAGTAAATGTCCCCAGTGGGAGTAATACCATATGACAGGGATTTTAATCCTTCCCTACTTTATTCAAGACTAAAAGAAAAAGGTTTGGCTAGAGATAAACTCTAAGGATTCTGAGATATTATCTTAGGCCACCAATGCACCACAAGACCTTAATCCCACAAACAACTGCTAAGTGCACAGTTCTTGGCTGATCAATAAGTTAGTGGCTACAAAGAGTGTGAGAAGATGCTGCAAAATCTCTTTATCTCCATAGGGAACGCTAGTGATAGTTGACAGTTGGCACAAATGGCAACCAGCAGGCCAGGATGAAGACTGGAGCTTTTAAGAAACCATTTTGGAGTTCTTCTTTTTAGCTGGTCCCTGAACTTGTCCAGAGATCTATCACCAGAAAAATCTTAATTATTGCCAGTGACTGCACGGGCTGACCCTGCAGCTGTAGATCATACAGTGATAACGCTCCACCGGTCATTCCAAACAGCGACATTCCAAGGAGACTAATTCATGTCCTGTTTGCAGAGTAACACTTCTCCCACTCGTTGTTCAGTCCATGAAATCCAGAGAATATTCTATCCCCGAGCCTAATGAGGAACATCGGTCATATGGAGTTGGTTAAACCCACTAAACAAAGGAAAATTAAACAATGGGTGTCAAGAAAACATCAAACTTTTCTTCTTTTTGTTGTTGTTGTTTCTCTGAAAGTGAACGTTGAAGTCATCTTTTCTGAACCATAAAAAA